CCCCCCCCCGCCCAGCCCAGGGCAAGAAGAACCTTCGCCAGCTTTGCAGGTAGGGGCAGGGCCCTTTCTTTTATTGATTGATTTGTATTTTTGGATTTGTATTTTTGCATTTAAAAATGCGACAGGTGGAGCCTCCCTTCTCCCAAATGCTGGAGGTGTTTTTGGATTTGGGACTTGAAAACTATTGAGTTTGGAGTAACTTTTTCTCTTTGCATCTGTGTACATGAGGAAAGGCACTCTGTGTGTCATTGTTCTTTCTTTCTTTCTTTCTTTCTTTCTTTCTTTCTTTCTTTCTTTCTTTCTTTCTTTCTTTCTTTCTTTCTTTCTTTCTTTCTTTCTTTCTTTCGGTGATGGGATCCAAGTCTCAACAAGAAATCCTTTTCTCTTGCATCCACAAATAATCCATATACCCTACAATCCTTGAAGGCAAGTAAGTGTATACAATGTTTCTAAAAAGAATTGTGAGCCTGAAACAAAGTTTGTGCACAGGTCCCAGGATTCCCTAGCACTGAGCCAGGGCAGTTAAAGCAGTCTCAAAATGGATTATTTCTGCAGTGTGGATTGGATTTATATTATACATAAATCTATATTAAAAAATAAATTATATTTGAGTCCCCCAAAATGAAGTCCCCTTGGCATTGTGGCTCTGCCATGCCTGCTTGGGACTTTTCTTCCCTGTTATTCTCTCCCCCGAAATATGTTCCCATCAGAATTTCCCATCCAAATTGGGCGATGCCAGCAAAAATAGTTTAATCTTGTTCCCCAATTGTGGCTTTTACAGGAGCTTGACAGGCAGAAATCCATCCGGCGATGCTTTTCGTTTGCTCTTAGCAAAAGCATTGTTGGTTCAACAGGTTCAGAGCTGCTGTTCCAAGAACTGGGCTGGAAAAGCAAAGGTTGCAACCTTCCCAAAATGGTCTGGGGAGTTATTAGAAAAGGGAGGTTGATACATTGGTTCCTCTGCATTTACGGTTTTGACTTTTGCAGATTTGATTATTTGCGGATTTGATTCATATATTCTCTCTAGGAATCTCTAGGCCCTCCAGAAAAATTTTGCTGGAAATTGACCATAGAGTCGCACTGGAGGACCTAGAGGTTCCTAGAGCTCTAGGCATGTAGGTCTTCCAGTGCAATTCTATGGTCAATGTTTGGCAGATATTGACCTCAGAGTTGCACTGGAGGACCTAGAGAGAGGTGTTATCTCATTATATATAATATTTATAATATTTATATGTTATTTATTTATATAATATTATATATATTATATTATATTTGCCATATTAGATTATGTTCTATTTGCCATAATGTAATATATATAATATATTATATTAGCCATAATAAAATATATACAATATATTATAATATATTATAATATAATGTAGGGTAATATAATATAATAGCCATAATATAATATATATAATATATTATATTAGCCATAATAAAATATATACAATATAATATAATATAATATAATATAATATAATATAATATAATATAATATAATTGCCATAATATAATATATATAATATATATAATATATACCATATATTTATACCATCTATATACCATATAGATGGTATATATATATATATATATATGGTATATATTTTTTTCCACTTTTGTTTGCGGTTTTCCCACTTTCCGGTGCCCCTAACCCCAAGAGGGCTGAGAGAGTGTGACTTGCCCAAGGTCACCCAGTGGGTTTCATGGCAGAGCTGGGAATCGAACCCTGGTCTCCAGAGTCAGTAGTCCACTACTTAAACCATTACGCCACATTGCCTCTTGCCATGTTAGGTGCTATGTATTCTTTGGCTGTGTAATGCAGCTTTTAGTCCTACGTAAGTATGTAGGCCTTGACTATACTTTATTTGTGTGTGTGTGTGTGTGGTGTGGTTTTCTTTTTTTTAAAGAGGGAATGTATCCAGGCTTGCATATAAATAATAAAAACTACCATAAATGTTGCCAGTGAAGCAAGTGTTTATGCAGGAGTTATGAAATATACGGTATTGAAATGTAACAGTACTACATTACGTTTTTTAATTTTGATACAGATGTTTTCTGTTCTGCATTTCTGGATACGCACACAATGGTGAGCTTCCTGTTGACTTGAGACTGCAGAGTATTTTTGTTGCAAGCTTCTCCTTGAAACCTTAGCTTTCTCGGTGCAGGGAATTGGTTTGAGGAATGGGACGGGAGACCTTTGGTTTCTTTGAACACTTGCAAAATGGCACATCCAGGACATGCTGTTTCTGTTCTTTGGTTCTTCGGCTAGATAATGGAAATATGCCCTCCTTTTATTTCTAACGGCTTCTTTAAAAAGTGAATCATCACAAAATAGCATGCATGCATGCCGTCCCTTCCCCTTGCCTGGATGACTGCTTTTCAAAATGGTCTACTTGGCATTTCCCATGGCATTGCAAAGAATTCTAGGGGACTTGAGAAGTTTATAAAACATGTTGGTCACATCTGTTGTGTTGTTGCTATTATTACTCCGTGTGAACTTAATGCATTGAGAACATATCCAACACCACCTTCCAGTTTATTTGTACTGGGGCCTTGGTATTTTCTAGGGTTTGGTTCCAGTATACAGTGGGCTAGCAAAATGGGGCTCCTTATAGAGAACGGCAAAATCAAGGTTTGCTTTTTGGATTTTTTTGGGGGGGGTATTTTAAAGGTCTGGATGGTTGAATCCATGGATACAGAGGACCAACTGTATGTTTCATCTTTCTTCCCCAAAGAACTCATTGGAGAGCCTTGGGTCAGTCAGCCTTGTCTACCTCATAGGGCTGTTGTAGTATCAATTGGGAAAGAACAAAAGCAGGATTTTGTTGCTGGGTCCCTTCCAACTTCTGGCGATCCTAGGTGAACCTATCATGGGGTTTTCTTGGCATTATTTGTTCAGAGGAGATTTGCCATTGCCTTCCTCTAAGGGTGAGAGAGTGTGACTTGCTCATGGTCACCCAGTGGTGACCATGCTGACAGCTCAAGAGTCACTTGAAAATGGCAGGATAGGAGAGCCAACATGGTGTCATGGTTTAAATGTTGAATTAGGATTTTAAGAGACCAGGGTTCAAATCCTCACTCGGTGACGGAAACCCACTGGGTGACCTTGGGCAAGTCACACTTTCTCAGCCTCCGAGGCAGGCAACGGCAAACCTTCTCTGAAGAAATCTTGCCAAGAAAACTCAGTGATAGGTCAGGGTTGCCATAAGGTGGAAACAACTTGAAGGCACAGAACAACAAAGAACAAAGTGGGATATGAATGTGGTCAAAAGAAACAGTATTAAAATTTAACCATTGCCCTATAGTGATTGCCACGTTTTCTCTGAGGGACCATTTTCCTATAAAGAAATGCATAATAAGTTTCCAGAGAACTGCAGATGGAAATTCCCTGAAACGCCAGTTAAAAAACTTCCGCCGTTGGCTATAAACAGTGCACACCCTGTTCTTTCATCTTATCACAATACAGTTGTGATAATGATGGAAAACAAATAAACCCGGGTGTTTGAATTCTCTTATATACTACACAGCTTCCCTTTGACCTATCCTGTCTAATACTCAGCTCATGCTGGGGGAAAATAGAGCCATCGAGAGACAAGAGGGAACTTTTCTCCAGCTGAGTTTTGCAGAAATTCAAAACAAAACAACATCCAACATATACATACTAGAACAAATAAAGAAAAATTAAGGGAAGCAAGCCTCATCCCAACCCAAAAGCCTTGAGAAAACTGACAGCCCCCCAAGAGTCACTTGGACAAGGTTTTTAAAAATGAAAATAAGATGGAGAATGGCTGGGCAGGCTGCTGGTAGCTAAAGGATACTCTGCAAAATTGGTGCCGCTTTCTCTTGTGCTTTCTGAATTTAAATTCATCTGCATGAAGACAATTGGTGCTAGACTAGGGGTTTGTCTTCACTTGTTGCAATACTCCAGGGTGCCCAAATAGGACCCCTTACTTGCTCTCTTTTGCTGTGGGTTTTCAGCTGTTGCAAGGATTGACGGTGGATGTCTTCCCATGCAGTCTCTGTTTGTCACTTGGCACCGCTGCTAAGGTCAGTACAAAGTGTCCAGCCATGGGCACCTTATTCTGGGCACCTCTGCAGCATTGGCACCAAGAAGCTCTCAGGGACCATGAGTAAAGGCAGCCGTCGCTGTCGCTGCAAAGAGAGCCAAAAACCCAGAGTAAAAGGTGTAATAATAATAATAATAATAATAATAATAATAATAATAATAATATGATTCTCAGTGCATCCCACTCACCCCCCCCCAGTGTGCCAGGCATCACACCATATTTGTGCCCATTGGGTACAACTCTGGTGTGTACCCAACAGTTGGGTACAACTGTTTCTTTCTTTCCTGGGAACTTGCTAGGGATTGCCAGCTCAGGGCCTGACACTGGTCCAAGGACCACCATTTTGTAGCACTGTGCTAGCTAGAAAGTGGGCAGGCAGCCTTTTTGAGACCTGGGCCGGTCTCTTGTAGCCCAGGTCTCAGCTGGGCCAAGGGGGGGGGGGAATGGCGGCGCTCGCGCTCACGCGTGCACACCCTCCGCCATAGCGCGCACCCCCCATGCACGCTGCCGCTGTGGTCGCTACTGCAGCCACCGCCGTAGTGCGCGCAGCCATTTTGGAAGACCAAATTGCGGCCGCGACACGTTTGCGCATGCGCAAGAGTACTGTGCATGCACAA